GCCAGGCAGACCAGGGCGCTCCGGGTTAAGCGGCGCGGGCAAAGGAGCACGGCCATGAGGTGACCGCGGCAGCCTCGGTTAACGGGCTGTGGCCGCCAAATAAAGCGCCTGGTTGGCATTTCCCAGTGCCAATTATCATTTTGTAGGCAATTCCAAGTTTTGTGGGACGGTTGGCAGTGGCCAGGCTAGAGGGGAAACGTTGAACTGTAAAAGGAGACAGATTTAAGTGCTCAGGTGCAGAAAGAAAGACAAAAATCTGATCAGTAGAAAAGCGAGCAGAGTCTGGAAGGGTGGCGAAGGAAGTCCTCCCTGCGATACCAGCCATTTGCATGTATTTAAAATCCTTCCCAATAAAGTTCATAATGAATTTAATTCCATCCCCTATGGCCCAGAGGAATGTTCTGTGTAATAAAAAAGTATTGCTAAGGGACAGATGACTGCCAAACTCCTATTCTCTGCCAGCAATGCGTATTTACATTATTGGCACTTAAACGCCAAGTTTATTTTACTACATAAATGATCCTTTGTCACGTATTAAGAACTAATACTGCCAGACCCACTTTTGGGACGTCACAATACCAATTCCCAAATTTAAAGCCTTGTTAAATTTGTATGCTTTAAAGAGGTTTGGGGTGGGGTGTTTTTTTCAGATTAAAAGAGTATTTGAATGTGGTAATTCCTGTTTTGGGTAAACTGTTTTGTTGATGGTTTCTGGCTTAGCTTTTTGAAATGGTTTTAGTCAAGGATCTTTTCATGTCTTGTCTTTCTTTTTTTTTTGTTACCTTGGAATATCGACATCAATGTTAAATAAATTATAAGCTCAAACACCGACTTAAAGGTCGAGATGCAAGCACTTACACACAGGCAGCCAGGTACCACAAGGTCTCCTGGCTTCTGCTGGCACGGCCTACCGCACTTCTGATGATTAAACCGAGTGACTCAAACGTGTGCGGGAAATTTCAAGCACCAGTGGTGGAGGTTGCTGGACCACAGCGTTACTTTGTTTATAAACATCATTATTCCATGGATGATAAATCTCTGCTCTCATCTAGCGTGTCACTTCAGTGCAGTCGTCAGGAAAATGGAAAAAAAAAAAATGGAGCTACTCTTTTTTTTTTGTCACTTTAATAAGGAGTGGAAGGGAAAGCTGGGAAAGGAGTTTAATTCCTAGCAGGCAGCAAGCTCTAGGGAAAATGCATCAGTAGTGGTGTAAGATGCAGCCTGCTTTGCATCCAGGCTGATACAATGCTCTCTAAGCGCCTCCTGCACGCTGCAGCACAACACAAACTTCTACAGCCTGCATGCAAGTTCAGATTGCTGGCAGCAGTGATTCAGCCAAAATATTTAATATGTTAAGGTCTGAACATAAAGCTTTTCTCCTAATGCGCTTCCGTTTACTTCATACCTCCACATCAAGTGTGAACAGTTGGAAAAAATGCTGTGAATTTGTCAGCGTGTTTATTTCCATGGCGCATCTCCTTTGAAGCAACAAGCATTTTTTTCAAGTGTAGAAATGAACACTTACTCATCCCTGGAAAACAACAAAGTTCCACAGGCATCTCCGCCCACCCCGAAGGCCTACCCTCACCGCACCACTACCCTCACTGCACCGTGCAAGGGCGCGAGCAGCTGCCCACACTTTTCACTTGCTGTGCACGCGGCGGAATATTCAGTTCCCCAGAACAAAAGTGTCTGAAGAACGTAAGGAGGAAATCTTGAGCTTTTGGCAGTTTGAACTAAAAGGAAAGGTCAGTGGCAAAGAATTCAGATAGAAGCAAAAAAAAAAATCAGACGCCTCAGAGCACTGCATTTGAGCTTTAAAACTGAATGCTCGCATTGTTTGCTCAGTTTTTCACAGCAGCATTCATCATTTAGGAAACGATTAACCAGCATGATGAAACATCCTGCTTCTAACTAAGGACAAAAAATTTACACTAGAGAGCTTCTTTTCTTTTCCCTTGAAAGAGCCCATCTGGTAAAATCTGACAAGAATTCTGCAGACCTGGGTTTGTGGGCTTTAAGTTGCACAGGAGACAAAGCCGCATCGGAGCGGTAGCATCCCTTCGCTGCCTGATTTCATACGGCCCATCACAAGTCACTGCTCAGGGCTCCTTACTTTCTGTTGGTCCGCATGAGGCCCACTCTTATCCCTGTATTTGTTACACCAACAGCAGAGGAAAAAAGCAATGAAGGCTCGAAAATGTGCAGGGCAACATTCAGATCAGCTTATGACAGAGACGCGACTGGTACCGAAAAATGAGGCAAGGCGGCAGTGGAAGAGCAGTGCAGCCAAGCAAAGGGGCGTGGGATTGCGTAGGAAGGGGAATGAGAATAAAGAAGCCGCGGCTGCGGAGTTGTGGTAGTTAAAGAACAGAAAATGGCGAAGGTAAATGCCCGCTAAGAATGGCCTTCCAGGGCTCTTCATCTAGTGCTGTAAGTTTAAGATACGCTACCTCCCCATCCTACCGGAATTATTCCATCATTAAGTGATTACAGAAGCAAATGATCAAAAAGACAACTTTTATTTGGTAGCTTATTCAGCGAGATCATAACTTTGTTAAAGTAATTATAGCTTTCATTAAGAAAATTAATTTCTTTAAAACAAAGAAGAAAAAGATATTTCATACCTTTTCTTACTTGGGGGTAGTGGTCGAGAGAGCCTGGACGTACCCTGTTTAAGCCCTGGCAGCTTCAAAGTTACAAAAACCCTTTCTTCCCGTTCCTGCCCCCTTTCCCCGTTACATTCATGTCTTCCCACCAGCGAAATACCATTTGCCTGGCCTGAACAACCCACGTGCGTTGTGTCAGAACTGCGTTCTGCAGCGAGCTGTTCAGTGGGGGCAATCGGACTTAGCCTAGGCAGGTAAGAAGGAAAACGTTTCTGTGCTTGTGCTTGTGCAGGGGAGGGAGGCTTAGAGCATGGAGGAGGTTAACAATATAACAAAAGTCTACCAGAAGTGAAAACCGTGCACCGCCAGGACGCTCTCTGCTCCTCTGTGCCTCTGCAGCAGCAGCAAAACCATCCTGCAACTTCTGCCCCCTCCAGGTGCTCACGTAAGGCACGCGGCCTGCAAAGAGAAAAACAAAGTGGGAACAGTGAACTGGTGGCTGTGCTGTGTTTCAGAAGTAATGCTTGGTGGGGGGAGCAGGGAGAGGAATTATTTCGTGTACCTGGTATTTCCCGCGAGGCGTCAGGATTTCCAGCGCTTAAGTGCAGCAGAAGCAGCGGATGCCAGCGAGGATTTGCCAGCCTTTCCCCCGCTCAGGCTCAGCCGTACCTTGCTTCAGGGCTGCTGCTCGGAAGGGGGCATCACCGCGGCAGCCCTGCTGAGCGCCAGGGCGGAATTTTCAGACACCCAACACTGAAGGCACCCCCTTTTTAATGCCATTAGTGATGCAGCAACATGTATTTATATTTATATATAAATACAAAATGGTCAGATACCACATTTTTAAGCATAATTTATAATCTGAAACTGCTTACACTTTCATGACTAGGCTTCGTTTTTTCTCATTTACATTCATAATTTAATTCCACTGGAATTTGATTTTTTTAAGAAAGCCCAACATATCTTAATTACCATAAAAAGATCCATACATATTTTTACTTAAAAATATCTTCTGTAAGAGGCAATTTACCAAAAATAACACGAAATATATTCTTATGCATACTTTTTTCTTTTGTAAAGTACAAACAAGAATCTGATCTCTTCTGGGTATTGCCTGATCTAGTATGGCTATAGGTTCTATTTATTTTGTTTGTTTTTCAAAGTAAAGGGAAAGACGTAAGAAATGTAAGAACACAAACCAAAAACGAAACTGCATTCTTTCCAGAGATACAGGTATCAATGAAAGAACACTTTGAAGACCAACAAATGACGACAGGTACAAAGAAACACTATCCAAGCACTATGCAGTCTTTTGTCAGAGCATGTGCAGCAATGACCTTGTAACAGTTATTAAAAACAACAAACAAAAAAATGCTACTGGCAGAAAAAGCTGTCAAGCAAAACACTGAGAAATCGGTACTATTTCCTAACAAGTAAGTGCAGAACTGATACTCAGTAATTTTGGGGGTTTCGCCCCAGGTATGCACACTTCTTTCTTCCTCTTTCTGTTCGCAGGACTGATCGTTGCGACTCTGGCAATATGCTGGATGCCAAACCAGGTTAGAAGGATCATGGCTGCTGCTAAACCGAAGCAGGACTGGACTGTCCCCTACTTTAGAGCGTACATCACTCTTCTTCCCATCGCCGACATCTTCTTCTACCTCAGCTCGGTGGTGAACCCCCTGCTGTACAACATCTCCTCTCAGCAGTTCCGCAGCGTGTTCCTGCAGGTCCTCCGCTGCCACCTGACAATAGAGCATGCCAACAAGGAGAAGTTTCTCAGAGCCAACCTGAGCTCCAGAGAGAGGAGCAGTCGGTCTCTACGCCCACTGCTCTTCGTTTCGTCCAGGCGCAAGTCTTCTACAAGGGGCAATAACAAAGCTTTCTTAAGTACTTTTCAGAACGAGCCCAAGCCTGACTGCAGTCCACAGAAACCGGGTCTTGCACCGCCGGAGCCCAGCTTGGAAGCAGTGCCTCTGGAGGCTCGTGCAGAGCCCAGTCCAGATGCACAAAACGGCTTTTGTGAACATCAAGTATGACTTCATAAGGCAAAGTTAATGATTAGCAATGAACTTAAAAACATGGAAATTAAAATGACTGAGGAATTGACTGCACCTTAAAAGGAATAACACAGATGGATTTGTTCCCAATTATGCAAAAAGAGCAGGAGTTCTGTATCCTGCTGCTGGGATTTTTAAGTGCACACTGGAAATTCAATCTGCTAACTGAATTCATTAGCTGCCAAAAATATCAGCCCCTCTCTCCCCACAATCACCGAACTTCCCTTGCTGTTGACAGGGATTTGGAAACAAACAGAAAATAACTGCAGTGTCTTTGAAGAAAAGAGGAGACAGAACAAACTGTGTCAGGGCACAAAAACTTGCTTGAAGTTTAGCAATACGAAAACAAAAGAGCCCATTTAAGGAGCAGAAGGGTGGTTATCACGTGTGCCCGTGGCACCACGCCAGAATTCCCCCTCTTCTTCGGCCGGGGTCCGTTGCAGAGTGGAGTGTTGCAGCAGCTGATACAAACAGAGTTCACCTTCCCTGGAGAACAAAAGGACTGGTACCCAGCAGAGGCTATCAGACACGCTGCTGAAGAGGCGCAGGATTTGCGATACATGATTCCTGTGACACAAAGCAAAGGTTACTTAGTTTGATATGAACACTGTGTTGCTTTACAGCACGATTCATGCTTGAAAACTGTTGCAAAACCAGTTTGCATCTCCAAAGCAACGCTGGTGATTAAGCCGGACACCTCAGCTGTGACACAGCTAACAGCTCTGCACTGCAGGAGCAGCGCAGTCACTCTGGCTTGGCTTTCTCTTTCATTTGATTCTGGTTGGAACCAAAAATATTACAAACTTGATTTACATAATGCATATCAAATGATGCATTTTATAACCAGAATTCTTCATCTTTTGGAATAAGATGTTTGAACAGCTATAACTGAAATGCAGTTAGTTTGAAAGTGACTTTTGTTTCTGTTGCTGAACATGTCCAAGTTGTTTAAGCTAAGTAATTAGTGTTCTATGCTGTTAATTTGTCTTTTGAGCATTTTTTTTCCCTTTACTTGTTCATTTGCCACACAGAGACAAGTAACCAGGAGTAAGAGGAGAATGACTGCCAGCAAAACTTTCATCTCCCCCCTCCTCTTATTTTTTTTAAAGAAAAACTTGAAGTACTTTTCCAGGTAATCTCAGTTCTTGCCACCTTTGAAGCTTAATACCCTCAACAACAAAAATTTCCATTTGTACAGAAATGGCTTTTCTGAGTTGAAAGTCTTCCCTTTTTAAATGTAATTTAATCTAATTTTAATTAATAATCTAATTAAATTTATAATTTCTCAAATTGTTGTTACCTGAAAAAAAACCCCAAACACATTCTGATGCACATAGCTGTTATTTTAAAATGGTTTAGAAAGGCTTTAATTCCATAGTTGCACTTTCCCCTGTCACAGTGGAAAATGGTTGTGGCAGTTCTACCTCTCATTACTCTGAAATTTTCCTGCAATTGATACACCAGAAACTGTGTGCTGGAAAAACACAGGCATAACACACAAATAGATAACGGAGGTTGTCTCCTATTGCCTTGTGGTTACAAAAAGAGGCAAATATTTCTAAGGATAACAACATCGCCATTCCTTTCGAATACGGAATTCTCAACAGGTTTTTTTCCTTCTGAAAGGCATGGGAGCAGGATTCCCTTGGAGACCGGTGCTGCTGCATTCTGTAGCATGGTGCCAGGATGTTTTTTAAATACACAGTGATCGAGGCTTTTTTTGGAGAGAGTGAAGCAGGAATATGGCCGGTAGGTACTGAACTTACAGTACCTGCAGGTACTTGCTCAGTCCCCAGGGACTTTGGAAATAACCTCTACAGCACCTATAGAGTCCAGGAGATACCTCTGCAGCAGGGACTGCCACTGTGCTACTAAGCGCTGCGTACGGCAGCAAAACAGTTTGTGTGGGTTATGCTTAGAAAGAAGGATTACCCGTCTTCAGAGAATTTTAATTAAAGCAATTCTTTTATACTGTCACAACATTGCTGCCATCCCAACAATGCAGGTGTTTCCCCATTTTGTGTTCTCCCTCTGCAAATCTAAACTCTGAAACGTGTTTTAAGGCTATCTGTCTAGTTAAATTTATGAAGAGAAGCCCTCAAGTCAGTGTTAAATCTTCCTCTGTCTCCAGCGAGCTTCAATCAATCAACACAGCAGGTAGAGCCTTTTCTCAAGAAGGAAGAGGAGCTACAGGCTGTTCTAGCTGTAACAGCAAAGGCACACGGATCAAGAGGCACAATCTTTATTACCGTAGTTTGCAAAAAGAAGAGAGCTCTGTCTCTGTTGACAAACCACTGCTGTCAAGGAGCCTCGACTGTGCTGCCACTGATAGGCTTACAATACTGAAATCTCAGCTGATGTTTCCCACAAGACCTGGTGCTTTGTCCACGTTCCTCCTGCGGTCTTCCAAGAGCCGAGGCAGATGCAACCCTTCCCATGGCAACGATTAACTTTTTTCCTTCCCCTTCCCTCTTGAGAAAGGAATACTGTATTCAGTGGAACCAGGCACAGCAACTGTTCTCACATCTGTAATCCCCCATCTCCTCATCACTGATTCCTTCCCTGCAGCTACAGCCACCCATCAACCTCAGCTGTTCCTCAGTCTTCCATAGGAACAGCAGTGAATCCCAACTTTCCCCTCAAAGACCAAGCCTCTCAAAAGCTTTTGATGTCGGCAGATTTCCTATTCCTGTTGTTTTATAGATCACTCTCTTGATCCTTTGTCACAAGATTCCTGCAAAGTCCTGCTCAGAGTTTGAACTAGTAAGGGATTTATTAGGTTAGGTCTCTGAATCATCATATACTTTGCAATTTTCCCATAGACTAGGAGACTAGACTTGGTCAGTGCTGTGAACCATTAGATAATGCCCTCTGAGGCAGAGTTTTCACCAGGCAACTCTAGGAGACCTCTCCTGCAAAAAAATCAGAGTCCTGCAACTTAACTCCACGTGTTTACAACAGCTTTGTTCTCCAGGATAAATTCCACAGAATAACCCTGAGCTCCTTTTGAAGTCAAAACACAGCATTCCTGCACAGACCGAAATTTTACAACTCCAAGTTTCATGCACAGACGGACCATGTTTGTGCCTACATAGAGAGAATAATCTAACTAGTAATAAAACCCCATTATAACACTTCTCCTGTGGTTTTTCTGTAAATACGTCTTACAGTAGGAAATTCCACTCCCAAATGATGGTTTATTCCCATTCCCAGCTCTAGTAATCTGAATTGTAACAAGATTCTTTCCTTACATAATTAAAAAAGTCAGTACTTCTACCAGGTTTTCAATAGCTCCTTGGCTAAAGCCATGCTCTTTGCATCCAAGTTTTATTTAAGTGCTGATAGCTTCTTTTGAGCTCGCAAATCAGCTGCTACCATACTAACTGTGCTTTTTACAAACATCAGGTATGAACTAAACTCGATCAGCAGAGAAAGGCTGTGCTTTTTCTCTATTTCTGCAGTATCCTTATAGCAAGATACAGTGAAAGCAGGCGTAGAAGATTGATGGAAAAAAGAGAATGTTAACTCTACAGGAGTGACATTTTTAAAACACTTCAGCCGTGACTTCACTTTTTTTTTAACCACGAGTGTGAAAAAGCAATGACACTTTAAATAGTATGAATTAAAGGAAGGCAGGAAAAATACTCTTAAATCTTCTTCCTACCCTATTGTGATTCCCGTTTAACAGTGGCAGGAAATGAATCAGTACGACAGACTTCTGTGGTTTGATGGCAGGGACACTACTCTCCTTGCTCCAGCAAAACCAAACCAAACCCCATTACTGTGGTTCACCCACTGAGTTCGGACAGGTCGGCAGCACCCTTTCTGGATTATCTCTAGCGATTAATTGCTTTTATATCTCAAGGATGTCTTTCCTCAGACTCATCTCTTGCAGTGGTTTATTGTACTGTTGAGCCAGTTCTGAAACTATTTCTGAGATCTTCCTGAATCATTCGCTACCAGCAGGCTGAACTGCAGACAGTTTTTCAAAGCGGTTATCTGCCTCGTAAGACTCATAGCACAGACATAACTGCTAATTACCGGATATTCTTGCTTGAGCAATCAGCTTGATACATTCATTAACACATCACCTAGAAATATAATTGCAAACCTTTCTGGCAGCTTTTCTTCTACCTCAGATTGTTCCAAGTTGCTGGCTAGGCAAGGAGACTGTACATTTTACACTCTGCTGTTACTGGGATGGGGTCATTCCCAGCTACCTACCCTTAACAGCTTACACGAGTGCTCAATGAGTATACTTACTGATACACAATTAGTATATTTACTGCCCAGTTTCTTGACAGGCATAAGTACTACAGCAATGTTTTAGCATGAAGCACCTACCACTGACCAGTTGAGTTTCCGTCACCTCGGCTTCAAGGTTTGTGGGGTTGGCTGAGGCTGTAGTTCAAGTACTTCTAGGAAGAGCCTCCTTCCACATACACCTACTGTAACTATCTTAAAAAAAAAAAAAAAAAGCTTTGACTTAAATTGAGCGTTGAACATTTATTCCTAGACCGAGCAACTTGCCCATCGTTACACCCCTCTCTGCCCCACAGGGAATCATTCATTTAGATAGTGTCAAGGCCCAAACTGCTGTCTCTGGATGACTTCTACCTTATTCCATACAATGCAATGATGGTGTAAATCTCAGGGCTTTTCTATGGTTCCTGCTTGTAACATTGACTTTCTCACCTGGATCCATTCTATACACAGCCCTCCCAGCTGCCATGCTGACGCCCCTGCTTAGCTGCAGCCTAGTCCTGTGCATCTGCACCCAGGCACTCTGTTTTGGCCACGTGCAGATGCATTCAGTCTTGGTAGCAACAAACAATTCATGCTACAATTTATTCAAATCCAAAAGTGAGAGTTCTTCCACCTACCCTGTCTGCAGAGCCCAGTACATGTTCTCTTGAATAACAGCTTAACTTGTTACTAGGACAACCAAAAAAGGTGACATCACACCTACTTCTTACACTTGTATGCAGAAGGCACCAGAAGATTCAAGCTTTTCCTCTTACTGCTTGAAAAGGATCTTATTGGGCACCTCCGACTCTTCTGTTATAGAAGGTACACACAAAAAAGAGCAAGTATAAGCACAACTCTCCAGCTTAAGAGCCAACCATAACCCTAGCAGCGTGTAACTTGAGTTTGCTCCTGTACTCTCAAGACTGTCCTTCAGCAAGATACATAAAGAGTCTCTGAAGCCAAAATAGGCAACTAGGATAACTATCTCAGAAATCAGCGACCTAATTTCTAAAAAAGAGTCACCTCCCCACTCTATGACCCAACTCCTCTGAAGCGGCTCTCTGCAATGGCACAGCTCAGCATGAAAGTGCAGCCCTCTGCTTCACCCCAGAACAGCCTCATGGCCACAAAGCTCTTAGCTGCAAGTTTGACTCCCGTCAAGTAGACGGTGTTGTTTAGCCAACTCTAACTTTTCCAAGCCAAATGCTCCATCTCATGGGCTATGACTGACACTCCTCGTTCTTAAAGAAAGAAGCTTTTGCTACAGCGTTTTGTACATACCCAATTTTGTAGGCATGCAAAAAGTCAGATTTGTCTTC